GGTTCAAACGTGTTATTCCTTAAGTCTTCCCAGATGAGGGACGCCGCCCTCATCAACCTTTCTTTCCCCATTCAACCTGCATCTGTTCCTGTGTGGCGCGGTGCGTACAGTTGAGGTAATTATCTCTACAACAATGGCCGGTTGATTTAACACAACAGAGAGTCAAACTACACCCAGTTTATTCATGCTTCTACAGTTTCTACCATTCACAACACCTGGGGAAAAAGCTTCTTGTGCACAAGGACGGCTATGTTTCCCAAAGCAGTTGTTGTTAAATCAGCTGATCCAATACTGGCCAAAATCACTGGATATTTGGCGGGGAAAAAAGTATAATCCATTACAATTCATTAGTCTAAACCGTCTGCATTTACTTTTACTACTCGACCCATTTTATTTCTATTTCTTTTTGCACTTTTAAGTCTTAAAAAAAAGGCCCTATTATATTTTTGTGCATGTAAATGGCCTGCAAAGGCTACAATCCCAAAGTGCCCTACAGAGGTAGTTTCTCTCCCCCACACTCTTCTCTACACACGCTTCTATTGGCTAGCACTCCCACACATTGTACGTGATAGGCTAAGGGGCGGGACATCTCTAAGTGGTTGACCAATCACAACGGAGCCAGCCAGCTAACCAATCAGAGCAGACGTGGCTCTTGTTGTTGCTTAAATGGAGAGAAATCAGATATTCTCGTCACATGTTACACTGTGTGCATAATCTTGATCCATAGCACACTACACGCCCTTCACAGTGCAATAAGAAGCAACCTTTAACATACTGGCTGCAATCATTGTTTTCATTATTGATTAACCTGCATCTTATCTTCCGTCTAGATTAATGATTCAGTGTTATCAAAAAATCTGAATTTCTCAAGAACAGTAAAAAACGTAAAGATATTGCTACAAACAAAGAAAAGCAGGACAAGAGGCTGAAACTGCCATGTTTGCTCTAAAGATGATTACATTAGTGAAGTGATTAGTCTTCTATAGATCACCAATTGTGAAAGGTCTATGTAACAGTACTAGTAGAGTCTCTCGGGCCCCGTCACATTTCAGCGGGTCCCACCTCTGCTGCTCTCGGGTGCCAGAGGGAGGACAGATGGCCTCAATCTGCTGGTGGAGGAAGCTGGGCAAACCTCCTCCGGACAGAGGACCATTTACAGCACGTCTACGTCTATAAACAGTGACTCAGACCTCATCTTGTTTACATAAACACCGGTGTGAATGAACAGGGATAGGTGCTGCAGTGCTGCTCATGGAAAAGGATGTATTTATAGAGTGAACACAAATGTTAACAAACCCTGCAGTCTCACCAGGCATTGAATACCAACACACACACACACACACACACCCTTTAAGATGTGGAAATAGAGAAGACACTGTTAAGTCAGGTGGAAATCCCATTAGAAGTAACAGAAAAATAATGGAGACTCCTGGGAAATAAGGGGGGGTGTTGGCACAGCTAGAAGCAGCCAACCCTGCAATCAGGAGGTCAGCCAAAAACAACAATGACTTGAATTCCCTGAAACACATGTAAACCATGGGCGTTAGCAATATACTAGTAAAGAAGGCTAGCTATTTGTTAGCAGCATCCCTTTTGTGTGACATTTTAGACTCAGCAGGCTAAGGAGGAATTCTTTTCAGCTTTCTTTTGACACCTAGCGCAGTAACTATGCTACGCTGCTGCAAAGCGCGAATAACAATAGCTTTACTATTCTCTATTCAAAGTTTTCTGGTATTAAAATATGTCATATGTCCAAGTTGCACCACTTGGCTCCCAAGAAATACACCCACCAGGTGTGAAAAGTTCTTGAGATGTTCTCTTTGGCAATTAAAACAAGTGTTAAAATCTTTGTGCACGCTATTTTCAGAACCTTTTGTGTGGAAGGGAAGAAATTGGCTATTTCCCTAAGTAGTGAGGACACGTCCCCAGTATAAATGACACCTATATGATGTAAACCAAAAAGAGTTGCAGCTTCTCTGTTTGCACGCTGGATCCCTGAGACCCGCTGTTTATTGCAAATAAAACGGGAACATAGCGAACATTTGCAATTAGCGGGTAATTATCATATTGCAGGGCCGTACGGGGTTATTATAAGCATGGGACTGAGATCTCAATTGGTTAATGTAATGTGTGGGGATTGGATTTTGAGGAGAGCCATAAAGCTAAATGACCTGCATCGTACGGTGGGAGCCCTTCAGTGGGTGGAGGCTGTGGGAGATTACAGTCCGAGAGTGAGAAGGTCAGTGTGTGGGCAGAATCAAATGCATCCCGTTTGAAAAGAGGAGTGTTATAGCGACCAATCTGGGCTGGAAAGGCGGTTTGGGTCAATTCCACTTCAATAACTCCCCCCCCTTTGGCTTCACATCAAGTTGTTACACATGAGCAAAACCGAACACCGCAAGTCATTTTCAGCTCGTTTCAGAGCCACAGGAGGGGGAGTGAAGCACTGAGACACACACTGCTACCAAGACGTTCAGCAGGAATCGTTTGCTTACAGAAAATCCACAAACCTATCCACCGAAATCTGTTCACCTCCTAGCTGCTGAAAACTGGCACATCTTTGCCGTTACGCATCCATCAATCATGCCACCGCTCCCCGCTGCGAGTTGATTTAATCTCTGACAGCCTTTTTCATGTGCGAGGTGAGTGTGTGTGGGCTCTGCCGGTGTGTCAAATTAACGCTTCATCAGAGCCCGGCCCCGGGAGCACAGCTTCTCCTTACCATAGGACGCTCCAAAAGTGACAAGTGCTGCATTGAACCCACGCTACAGCAGGATAAGGAGGACGGGGGGGGGGAACACAACTAAACTGGAATATCTCTGCGTTTAACAGAGGATCCGTTATAGTATCTGGATCATTAAGCAGAGGTGGAAGAACTACTCAGATCTTGTACTTAAGTAAAAGGTAGAAGTACCAGAGTGTAAGAATACTCTGTTACAAGTAAGTATACTGCAGGGTAGCTTGTGAATGTAATCCAGGTGTAACTAAATCTTATTTAAATGCAGATTGTATGTAATATCTTTAATCCAAATCTGCAAAGTAACTAAAGGTATAACATGAATAAAGTAAAGGGAACGGTTTACTGAAGTACAAAGAATTGAAGTAAAGCCCCTCTAAATGTTACTTACAGTACGTGAGTAAACCTACTTAGTAACTTTACACCACTGAATGTAAAAACTCAATGAGCATTTGGTCAGACTTTCCAGCAGAACTAGTTTCTCTCACACACACACAACATATGGTTTGAACCTAGATTACAGTGCTCTGACTTTCCCTTTGACTGACCACAAAACCATATGCAAACATTCAAGATTTGCATCCGCATATTATTTTTTTGGCACGGTGTTATTTCAGGCTTCCATTACTGATAGCAAGAGCAGACATCGCTGTGCGTGGCAGTGAAGGGGAAAAAGGAAGCTCAGCGGGCAATAACATTTACAGATGATCCATTGACTGAAGAGCACACACACGCGCACACACACACACACACACACACCCTACATAATGTAAACAGACACATGGAGGGGTTGCTTTAAGGAGCTGAATCATGCGACACATCGTCTTTAAAACCATCTCTATATAGTGTTCACAATGTTCCTTTTCCATTTAATATGGTATTCCTTGCACAGTTAAGGTAAATAATATCCTGATTTTAAATGTTGAAAGCTGTAATTAGCCCTTCATAGTGTATATTTGACAGTCTAAAGTCTCTGTTTATTGTCTACTCTTCTTCACTCCTACCTTATAAGCAATGCCTTGTTTTAACATACTGCTGTGATGAAAACATTTCCCAAGCTGGGCTCAACAAAGTCAAATCTTATCTTATCTTAATGGCCAAACACATCAAAACCAATCGAGTTTCTGCAGCCAACGCACTCAAGCACACACTTGATCTCTCTCACTCAGATTCCCCCGGCGTACTTAAAGAAACAGCAGGGACAAACGCAGGTAAAAAGCAGAAGCCAAATGTTCCATGAGAGTGGCTTTTACTCCAAAAACAGGAGGGTGGACCACAGCCATTTTGACCTCTCACAAACACTCCAGGAAATGTTCCCACTAACAGGGTAAGAGGGGGTCGCAACTTTACCACCCCCACACACACACTGCATCTGCTCCCACAGCAATGACGGTGTAATGGTCCACATGCAATCCAAGGCCATTGCACCCTGACCCGCATACTGCTGCAACAACACCCACACCACAAATAAACTCAGCGGTGGGTTGCCAGGTAAACATTCCCCTAATGCAAAAAAGGTTGAGGATCCAAATCCAATACTTTAGCACCAAAAACTTGCCACAGCTTTATAAACAGCCACACCTCCTTATGAAATCTACATCTGGTTACATTTCCAGAGGAGCAATGGCCACACAATCCCTCCTTTAAGCCCCATTTTCAAGCCTCAAGGATCCTTCTTAGGACATTCTGCCACCAAATCCCCTCATTTTAATGTGTAGTCAATTATTTATGTTTAATACAACTGATATTTTAATGGACGCAAGCCAGTGGAAGAACCACTCTGCACTTCTATTATGACAGCCACTCATTAAGATGCATTTCCCCTCTTTTGTGTGTAAGAATAGTATGGTGTACTTTGCCAAAGACACAATTCCAGTACATATAAAGTATTCTGAATCTAAAAACAAGCTGTGCAGGGATTTTTTTTGTGCTGCGTTATTTCAACTTAGATCATTTTAATGGATGTGCTTTCGAGACACATTTACAAGCAGCAGGGTTTCTTTTTTAAAACACTCATCGGTTAGGTTGTCAGGTAATGTTATGCAAAAACGCTTAGGATCCAGATCCAATACTTTGACATCAGAAACTTGCCACAGCTTTATAAACAGCCACACCTCCTTATGAAATCTACATCTGGTTACATTTCCAGTAGATGACCGCACAAGCTGGACATTTTTGCGCAGCGTTATTTCAAGTTATATCATCTGATAGATGTGTTTTTCGAGGCAGGGCATTTACAAGCAGTCAAACATCATATACTCACTGTGGTGTGGATGTAGGTTAATGGCCGATGGCATGAATTTCCCCGAGTGGAGAGGCGGTGGATGGCCGGGAGAGGGAGGGATCCTCCCGGCTGCAGCTGCTGCTCCGAGACGGTGAGCCTCCATGGAGAGACCCGCCAACAACGGAGGCGGACCGTGGACGGATCGGGGGGGTCCAAAATCTCTGCCATCCATTATCCACAGTGGGGAAAGTTGTGAAAAAAATAGTCCGTTCGGATATGCCCCCTATTCCAAAAAAAGCCTATAATGTCTTTAGTTTTCCAGGCGATTCGGGCTCCTTTTCAGCCATCCTGCTGACCTACAAAAACAAATACAAGAACACATTTCCTTTATCTATAATGTTAAATAAACTGTTTTAGGTTTTCTCCTGGTTGCAGCGTACAAGCGGTCCATATGTGCAATGACGCAGTTTGGAAAACCACTTCAAAAACTAAACGTAGAGAAAGCTGATCGACAGAATAAGCGTACGAGTTGCTCCTGGTGCAGCTTAACTGCAGATCTTAATGGATATTTTACTTAAATCTACAATATTATGATCTAATGTTGGAGTGGCAGCAGCACCCCACCCCCTCTGCGCTACACCGAGCCGATCCGGAGCAGCTCTTCCCGGAGAAACACAGCCAGGAGACGCCGGAGACCAGCTGCTCTCTCCGGCCATGAAAACAAGCCGAAACGCACACGGTCAAATTTGAACAACCTATTCTGCCTTTTTCCGATTACCCAGCTGTTTCCGAAGCAATGTAGGCTATGTAAACCAATACACCATAAATACTGAAAGGGCGCATCAAATATAAATTTCAAACGGGTTAAAAATAAATAAGGTTGCAAAAAGCCTGCATCATTAATCAGCGGGCGAGCGGTGTTTTGTTGCCCAGAGAGGACGATTTAGTCCGGGCTGCTTCGCTTTTTTTGGACATGGGTGCTGCCCATGGAAATAAATCAAAACCAAAACAATTCGGTTTAAAAAAAAATAATACCTTTTGGATCTTAAATGTGTAAGATTAAAAGCTGTTATTAAGATATAAATGTGTTTTTTTTATGATAAATCGACAGTTTATTTTGTGTTAAAAATCAAAATCGACCAAAGCAAGGCGTATTGAATCTGTTAAATATCGATAAAAAAATGTTTAGAAAACCAGGTTATAACACTAAATCTTCTATTTAAAAAAAAAACACTAGAATAAAAGTTACTTTAAGAAGAACAACAACAAGCTACTGGGACTTTTTCCTAAGACAATGAGACAATTGTGTGCCTTTTTCTGTACATAAAACCTTTGAATAGACACTAAAACGGTGTGAAATTAGAGAATTTAAGTTTAAAACAACAAGTTAACCTTCAAAGGCTTCAAGCAAACAGCGGAGACTCGTGATATGCAGGCGGGCGGGATCTGAAGAATAGGCTGGTTTAGAAATAACAATAAACCTGTATTTCTCTTTGAGTGAATAATAGCACCACCAGAAACAAATATTGCGTCTAAAAGCCCCTCTGAAATACACTGGGGAGGTTAAATTAAATGGTAACCCTTCCTCAGCTGTGACCCATGCGGCTCGGCGGCGGAGGAGCACGGCTGCAATTCAGCCACGTTTCAAACTTTTTCACGGTACCTTTAACGCACACACAGACAACTTTTTCGGCGGAAATGTTTACAAAAGTAGCATTTTAACACCAATAACAGCTCCTAAAAAATCAAAAATGACGTTAGCACCCCTCCGCGCCCTTTTCACTTACATTTACAGCTCAAAATGTGCTTTAAAAACACCCAAAACTCGGATATTCAAGGAGGAAAGGGGAAACCAAACAGGGAAGAAAAAAAACGAGCGCTTACGTGAATGTGGAGCTAAAAAAAAATGCTTTCTTAAAATCCGTCCAGTTTGCTGGGAGAAGTGGAGTAGTCCATTACAGGCTCGTCCGAAGGTAAACTGGGGGATAACTGTGGAGGGGGGGGAGCCCCTGACGCGGCCGTAAACTCCTCAGCAATGAAACACAGCATTGTTTTTACAAGCCCCGCCCCTCTCGTCGATACCAGCCAATCAGGGACCAGAACAGAACGTTTCACACAGCTGCGTTCTGATTGGCTGCGAGAAGTGTCAATCAAAGACCTCTGTTTTAAAAATACTGCTTTTTACTCCACTACAATTATTTTTAAACTCATAGTTACCAGCTACTGTGTACATATAATACCACATGACATTTTTATATGACATAATGCTGTGCTGTATTACCAATATATATTTAAAGAAAATCTAAAATCATCTATCTATATTATTTAATGTCTTTAAGTGTCTGTGTTAAGCAATTAAAACAATGAATAATTGAATGTTCTATAATATAATACTTTCACAACAGCCATTGTTCATAATGTGTACTTTTACTTTAAATACTTTAAGTACATTTAGCAAACACTTCCCACAAAAATGTCCCAACTTCAGATCAATAAAGTACTTCTTATCTTATCTTATTATCTTCCGCACTTCTACTTCAGTAACATTTTGAAGCATTGTATTAACAAGCCCCGCCCATCTTCTCGCTACTAGCCAATCATAGAGCAGCACAGAACGTTTCACACAGCTGCGTTCTGTTTGGCTGCGAGAAGTGTCAATCAAAGTCCTCGGCTTTAAAAAAAAAACAACAACCTGGCCGCTCGCCAGCACTATAAAACCAATTATGGAGCAAGGAGGTTGAGCTGTTTCAAGGTCCCCTCTCCCTTCAAGACTGAGTGATCAAAACAAGCGGTGGGTTTCTTTTCTTTTAGCGGGAGGGGGGGCAGTTTCAAGGCGACCCCCCCCCCCCCCCCCTCACCCATTTCCACGCTAATTATAATAGACGCTCGAAGATTTGGAAGTATGGGGGTGTTGTTACCGTTACAATATTACATTGGTTGTAACCATGGTTGTAACGTTGTGTGGCCTCAGTGTACCCATTCTTAGTAGATAATAGCCAGTACATCCCTTTTCCATTTAACCCTTCAAAAGGCAAGCGAGGGGCAGGGGCCTGTATGCAAACATCTAAAACTTGAGATAACAATCTCACGATTTCTAAAGGCCCCTTCAATTAATGCTAATTTAATTATTCAATTTAATTTGGGAGGCCACAATTTGGGCGTTGTTTTCCCCATAGGCCAACCCAAGACTACCCATAATGGTTCAGTCATTATGTATAATATAAAGCCTATATTCTTACGGGAAGGAAGAAAAGTGAAAACCCAATAACAGAGATTAGCACTAACATCGGACATGTTCATGCACGTCCATCATAGCCAGGAATACTGAGAAAAAAGTCCATACACTAACAGTAATCTTTATAAAAATGTTATAAACTAAACACCACGACGTGTAGCTAAAACGTGCACATTGAGAATATGGCCTTTATTTAATTTATTTGAGTTATATTGTGAGTTATAACCTAGTCTTCTGGCATGTATCACAGGTCTGTTATCATGTCACCCAGGAACGCACCAAGATGTATTTGTCGTCACCTTAATGGCAGCTTTATTTGTAATTCTCACCCAGGAATAAAGCCAGGCTCTCGGTATGCAAATGCCCATTAACAGCCTGTAGTTGAAGCAGCGCTACATGTCTCCTTGTGTTGAGTTTTAGCGGGGACGCACGGACGCACACACATTTGCATTAGAAGAGGAGGAAAAGTGCCATTATGCTAAAATTCAGAAAGGGGTAGCTCGACCTTTGGGGTTCTAAAAACAAAACATGCCCTCCTCTTACGCAGTGCTGTCATAGTTCTTTTTTCTTTCTTTTTTATCATCCAGAAGTTTCCTTTGAGGTTAACCACTCGGCGTTACATTTGCAAAAAAAATGTTGATTAAAAAAAAAATCTCAGACGGTTTCAAACTCCCCTCTCCTACAGTCCCGCCTCCCCACAGTGAGCAGGTTTCAAGGAACCCCCATTTGGTAGGTGGAGAGGAAGCGATAGGACAGAGGCAGCAGAACCGGACAGGGAGCGGAGAGAGAGCAGAAGAGACGCCGAGAAACAGCAGCTTTAGACGGCATGAGCGGAGAGAAGAGCCCGGTGTGTGGTTCTCGGTGTTCCGGTCGCTTTCGGTGGTTACACTTCCTTGTTTTCGGTAGGACAAACAAACGTTCCACCTAGCGAAAAGAAGCAGAAACCTTTTTTTTAGGCTATTTGTACTATTACATTATAATTGTATCTTTATTTTTTGGCTATTTTGCGTTAATAAAAAATGGATCGATAGATTTAAAGGGGGAAAGGGAATGTTTGTTCCGAGCGGGACTCGAATCAGGGTCTGCAGCAGCGACCTGTCGCGTCTAACGATGGGGGGGGAGTCACCCGGCGGAGATCAGAGCTGATGTCCCGGCCCGGGCTCCGATGGGACCAAGCCAGCCTTTGTTCTCCAAAATCTGTCGGACTGGGAATTCAGACAAAGCCTTGAGATTATTAGGGCCCTATTGTTGCTGTAGTCGTTTCACCCCGCGTGCAGGAGGCAGCCTTCATCTCCTCGTGTCTGTTTTTCTTGTGGTGCTCGCGGGTGTTATCTCCACTTCTAGGTGGCTGCTGCACGCATACATTTTTATTAAACAGCTTAGTCATGATTCTACGGAAGAGGATTAGAGCCACATGAGAAAAAAACTGTTGGGATGTGACCAAAAGTTTAAATATATATATCTAAGAATTCAGAGGGAAAAATCATAATTCGGTCTTTTTCTCAGCAATTTATGGTTGCTTTAATTCAAAGATATTTTCTTAAGTATTTCCAGATTTAGGAAGTAATGGAATACAAGTAACTGGATTACGTAATTAGGAAGGTAATCTAGTCCTTTAGCTACAGTTTCATAAAAAATAGGTAATCAGAATACATCAAATGTGGATTACTAAGGAAACCACAATATATGAACAGATGCAGAATTAACACTACGTTTATATTGTGATACATCGATTAGGTTACTGATTACATGTTTTACAGGTAATTAGTAATTGTAAGGCACTAGTAATCCTCTCTGGCTATTATCTTTTATGACAATGTGACCTTCCTAAATTATTATAGCCTGGCATGGTGGTGCATTTAATACATCCATCAGCAGTTCAGACGAAATAATCCAATAAAAATAACATTACTGCACTCTCCAGCTACAGAAGAACAATTGGTGTTTTACGTCCAATTTTCCATCATCACTGTGATTATTTCTCTGTTAGGCTTATC